GGGATCGAGTCCCGCATCGGGCTCCCTGCTCGGCAGGGAGTCTGCTTCTCCCTCTGACCCTCCCCCGTCTCATGCTCTCTCATCTCATTCTCTCTCTCAAATAAATAAATAAAATCTTTAAAAAAAAAAAAAAAAGAAGAAAGTCAAGGTACTTCAAGAACATCCAGTTCAGCTTTTTCAAACTCTTTTGACTAGAACCCAAAGTAAAAACTATATTTGACTTCACAAGTTCTTCCACACACAAAACAGAAGTTTCGTGACAAAAGATTTTCCCTGCGTTTTGATACTCTGTTCTATTCCAGTTTACTAAATAAAATACGCTGTCAAACTATGGCTTGAAAAATACCGATCTAATTCAACCCCTGAAAACTGATAAGACAGGTTTGAACAATTAAGCCCAGAGAAGTAAAGAGGAGTTGATCAAGGGCAGCAGAAAGAATGCTGGCTATGGGGCCAGAAAAGCCCCCACCGCCCAGCTGTTGGTGACCCCAGGCAAGACTCTTTACATCAGTGTTTCTCCAGGCTTTTTTCATTATGGCCCCCTAAGGCAAAAACATGAATACTAAGATTTTGTAGGAGGGGTTGAGCCTTGGAGGGTATGGTAACTATGGTAACATCTAAGATTTTTTCCCTCTTTCAAGACCCAATTTTTACTTTACAACTCAGACTTCAGTGTCCTCACAGAAGACAGGAGACTCCAACAGGTGCTCTTGAAGATACTTTTCAGTTGTCAAAGTATATAATTTAAGCTGAGTCCTTGTATTAATAAGAAATGGAGAACCAGGGCGGCTAAATGACTTGTTTGAGGTGTCTTAACTAGGTAGAAGTTCATTAAGGTCTAAGACAATTTTTAAGTTCCATGATACCTATTGATACAGTAAGTTACAAAACTGTAACCAAGAGCTGACAGAAAGCAGGCCACATTCACTCTGGGAACAAAAAGTATAATGCCTATCAGGTGTCAGCTAAAAAGAACACACTGGGAAAACAACAAATTGCAGAAGGAATTCCATCTTCGTCTTTTCCATCCATACCTGGAAGATTTGGCAAAACTGTGGTTATAAAGAACTAACCATTTTAGATCATTTACAAAGCAGGTGATAAAAAGCATAATGTACATTAGATTCTATGCAACTATGTATGTGTAGCATGTATATGCTGTGTATATAACTAGGTAACTGAACAGGACTAGCATTTCCCTGGGGCGGAAGTGCAGGAGGTGAGATTATACAGTGGGGCCGGCAGTCATTGGCCTCTGATGCACACTCAATCAGACCCTGACATCCATTAAGGGCTGGGGGGGGAAGACCCACAGCTATGGCACTTGAGTTCCACAAGACAGCTTCCTCAGGAGGTTATTGCTTTCCCACATCTTTCCAATTCCACTGACCTCACTCTCTTGATCTTTAAGGAGAAACGTCGTTTTTCCTTATCTTTAAAAGGTATCTTCTAGTTCATAGCATCCTCCTATTCTTCAGATAGGTTTTTGGTGTTTCTTTTTTTTATAAGATTCAAGGCCTGTCCTGCACAGACGGATCTATAAAATGGCTGCTTCTTGGTAAATCCAGCTTAAAACTCTGATTAAGTTTCAAGGCCACCGCTGAACTGAAGTTTTCTTCTTCCATTCTAGTCAAGACAGACAATCACATACATACACACCACTTAACATAATCCTCTATCCCAACCATGTTTTGATTGGGATATTCCATTTTTCACCATTATCTAAGCTACAACTTAAAACAATGGCTTAAAAAACAAAATTAAGAAGTTCCTTCCATGAGATAATTCCACCCTAATTCAAGATAACTTCTGTATCAGTTGATTCTCATTTCTAAAATCCCACCACCAGATTTCTTTTCTCTGAGTTACTAGAGAATCATTACAAGACATGTAACCACCCTCTATCATGGCAAGATTTGTAATTCCTTATGCCATTAACAACGCTAACATTTTCCAGGATCACAGGTACTTGAGAACAGTTCTATACACAGTAGGGAAGATTTGAGAGGGAGAGGGAAGAGAGAGAAAATGGGTCTGTGTAATCTCCAGAAGAGCCCTGGAAACCTAAGAAAAGAAAAATGAGGAGAAAGAGAGGAGCACTAACACTGCTTTTACCAACTGTCTTATTTTATACTCTGGGGCTAGTCCTAAAATTAAGTAACTGAAATCTAAATACCTCTACAGTAACTTGTGGAAAACAAAAGCAAGCAAAAAACTTGACCCAAATGGAAGTCTGCAAAGGCTGCATTTATGGATTGATTCATATGCACAAGGTTGTTTGAGCCTCTTTCCATGTATTAATTCATTTAACTCACACAATCCTAGGTACTAATATTATCTCCTCTAGGAATAATATCATCACCTCCTCCTAGGTAAGTAAACTGAAGCACGGAGACATTGACTTGCCCAAAGTTGCTCACACAGCTAATGAGTAGCAAAGCTGAGATCCCTGGCTTCTGACTGCAGTCTGAGCGCCCTTCAGCCCTAAGCTATGCCGTCTTTCCAGAATGGAGAAGGAGGTGAGGAGGAGAAAGGTGAAGAAGCAAAGCAAGATAGGGAAGCCTGCTACCTGGAAACCTGAGGGTGCCAAAGTTATTGTCATTGAAGCTTACAGTCACAATTTGAAACTGATCTGGAGTCAGGTTAGTTAACTTGCCTCCAAGAACTTTTGACAAAACAGCCTCTCGGCCCTCCGGAAGATAAATTTGCTTTTCTTAACCTGATCCATTCCAACAATGAGAAAGAAGTCTGAACTGGACACTTGACCGGGGCTAGCTGAACCAAAAGGCGCTTGAGGGCGTCCTGGCTCCATTTCTTAGTACGTGTGTAAACTTGGGCAAGTCGCTGACCTGTCTGGCCTTCACCAGAGCCGGGGTTTATCAACACTCCCACGCAGGGAACGCAGTGAAAGCACCAGGTTAACGGTAGCAGCTGAGCCGGCGTCGCTCTCGCCGCGACAGTGAGGGCAGCGTGGATGCGGCCGACCCAGCTCCACCCCTCCCCCACGCCTCCAAAATGGAAAAACAGAGGCAGGCGGCTGCGGGGTGGATATGGGAAAAGCGGAGGAAAAGGAAGGGCCGGGTGTGAAGATGTCTCCCTCCTGATGCCAAGACTGAAAGCAGAACACCCCAAAAGGGGCCGGGATTTTCCTTCCGTCCTCCCTTGGTCCCGCCCCACCCCCTCCACCCTCGGTCCCTGCGCCCCTCTCGCGGCGTGCAGGAGCCCATTTACCACCAGCCCTGCCCGCCCCCGGTCCCAGACACAGATCCATCGCCCCTCCACCTCACGATACCTAGGCGGCAGCAGCAGGCTCGGGACTCGCAGCCACCGGTTCCTCTCCGCCGCCACTAGCAGCACCGACACCGCAGAGGCTGCGGCCATGTCCCCACAACACGGTCCCTCTCCGACTCCTTGGTACACCAGCGGCTTCCCCCTCGCTGCAAAACCTTGCCTCCGCTCCGCAAACCTGTTGTCCTCCACGGGCCACCGTCCAGGTCTGAGTCTCGCTCTAGGCCTCTCTGGC